CGCACGACCAACACACACTTCGACCTATGCCCCCCTTCAAGATGTTTATGAAAATTAAACGAGTCGAAGGCGAGCCGGAGGTTCCCTGGCGCCGGAGGCGCTGTGTCACACGCCGCACAACTAACGCGCCGCACAACCAACACACACTTCGACCTATGCCCCCCTTCAAGATGTTTATGAAAAATAAATGATTATCAAATGTCACATGACGACGTACAACGTGATTGAATGATTCTGCAGACTCCTTTTTTTTATTAAAAAGTTGCTTTTTTTCTTTACTTGAAAGGTGACATCTGATAGTGTTGGTAGTCCCCGCCCGTAACTACCCCATAAATCTCCATTACCCAGAAATATAATGGGAACAAAAAGGGAAACGAGAAAGGGAAAATGGGAACCAACCGCGCGAACCGGTAATTTTTTTGTGTTTTCGCGCAGAAAGGGAAAACAGAAAATTCAGGTAGTTTGAGGGTCAAACTGCAAAATGCAGCAAACCACAAACCGGAAAGGGAAAACCAGGAACCAACCACACAACTGGTTTTCCTTTGCGGGAGCGCTCCGCACGCGACACTTGTCACGCGTGGAGCGCTCCGAAGGAGCGCTCGTTAACTAGTTGCTCCCATGTAAGAGGCGGGGTGTGAGCGGTGAAAGGCACAGGCGCAAAGCGAAGTATTCATCTTTCGATATGTCGGTATGCACCTAAAACCATACCGAAATCATTGGTTAACCAAATGCCGGTTAGCTATTTGGGTTGCCAATTTTGGTTTGTAATTTTGCTAAGATTTTTTTAAAGAACAATTGTTAAAAAAAAATAAGGTTTCTACCAAACACCCAGACTGAGTGGTGCCTTGACAACATATTGCAATTCTCGTGGAGACTTCAACTAAGCATAGCCTCTTCAAGCCTAGGCGGCACATCGGTGTTGCGAACCTCGGCTATGCTCTATCCTCCGTCTGGTCGACAACACAACATTGTTGTCACTCGGTCTCGATTGTCTGATGTCTTTTGACTATGTCATTGTCGGTCCCCAATTGTGGCTCATGGTCTCGCATAATTCTATGTTCTGGTGTCGCATAATTCGGTTCGCCTATCACTAGCCTCCCCGGCCTCTTTCGTTTCCCCCTATTACTTTGTCTGTTTGCTTGGACTTTGCACTTGTTTTCTTTCTAAAC